GTACAGGTGGTTTTGCCTGCGGGGGGTGGCAAGTGCTCAGGGCGCTGCACGCTGGGCCCAGCCGCCCGGCGGCCCCTCCCCCCGCAGGAGGCGGACTGGCCAGGCTGCCCGCCCCACAGCTGCTTCCTCCTGGAACGGGGGACTCTGCTCCCTCCTTGGCTGAGCAGGGCAGGCTTACTCAGCGAGAAAGATGCTCTTCTTGAAGTAGTCGTTGCACAGGGCAGCCTGCTGCAGGCTCTCGAAGGTGAGGCCCAGGTTGAGGTAGAGCCGGGCCCTCATCTCACTCAGCTCTCGCTTGGACAACGTCCCTGGAAGATGACCTCTGGACACTCAGGGCCTTGACCCCAGTTAGGGTCTCCAGCTCTGAGCCCTGTCCCCCACCCCTCTTCCTGCCTCTCTCGGGGGTCGCAGCAGCCACGCTGCGAACAGTGCGGAAAGACAGAGAGCAGAGGGCTGACTTCCAGCGCTGATGCTGCCAGGAGTGTGGGTGATGTGCCCCCTCTTTAGGGGGCTAATGAGAACAGATCCCAACCCTACCCACACAGGTGGAGCTGCAGTTTCCTGGGCCCATAGCCCTGGACACAAAGGGTGGGGAGGGCTGCACCCCAGGGCACCCACTTTGCAGCTTCTCATCCACAATAGCCAAGCTCTTCTCGAAGGCAGCCCGAGCCTGCAGCAAGGCGTCCTGGGACTGGCAATGGTAATAGACGTCCAGGTGGGTGCGGCCAATGGTCGCCCAGGCCCTTTGCAGCTCCGTGTGGTTGGACAGGGAACGGGCCAGCTCCAGGTACAGGTGCTGGTGCTGGTGCGCAGAGGGATAAGTGGCTGTGAGCCAGCTCCTGCCTCCAGCAAACCCCACATTGCAGGGGCTCGCTATCCTTGCACAGGAGAGCCCCTGCTCCCCAGAACACCCCCTCCGTCCAAAACATCTCCTGTATGCCAAGGGCTACCTGTGGGGACACCAGTTCCATAACCCAACGGGTACTTGTCAGGACAGGGGCGGGAGGGGGAGCGGGGTGTGTGGACACAATGTAAAGGCTGGGTTACTACAGCCCCACCCAGAGCCAGGCCACCACCCCCTGAAGGTGAGGCCCAGTTGCACACAGCACGTCACCGTGCTGCCAGAGGCCGGAGCTTTAGAGACTGTGCCTCAGTCCTCAAAAAGGGATGCCCACGAAGGACAGGCCCAGGACGCCTGGGTCCGGCCTGGGTCCGGTGTTGGGTGTGCCGCCCACCTGCAGGGCAGCCGAGTAGTCCTCCATCTCCGCCAGCCGCTCCCCGATCTTCCGGTGGGCCACGGCGCAGCCCAGGGTATCGTCCGTGCTCTCCAGCAGCCGCAGCTCCTGCTGATGCTCCTGCAGGGCCTCGAGGTAGCGGCCTGGAGGGCGGGAGGGTGGGCGGGCTTCAGCAAGGCTGGGCAGTCGGCCCGCCGGGGGCCGCGGGCAGGGCGCTAGACAGCGCTACCGCCCCCATCCTGAGTGCGCCGCCCCCCCCCCCCACGGCCGTGGACGTCCCCACCGCCGGGCTCCGCGCGAGACACGCACCATGGCTGGCCAGCAGCTCCCCCAGCTGGTGACAGAGCGCGGCTTCCTCCCGCAGCTGTCCGCTGGTCTGGGCCTTGGCTTTAGCCTTGCTCAGCTCTGCAGAGAGAGAACGAGGCCGGGAAGCTGAGGCCCTCCACCCGCGCCCGCCAGACCGCTCCCGGGACCGCGCTCGGGCGGTCGGCTCGGGGACTTACGTCGGAGCTCTCTGTCCAGGCTCATCGTGGTCCGGTGCCGCTCAGGGATCCGGACTTCCCGCGCTCTCACGGCCCCGCCCCCCGCTCCCGCGCAGGTCCAGCTCCTCCCCGCCCCGCGCGTCGCGGAGCATCCCGGGAAGTGTAGTCCGGCCACCCGAAGCATCCTGGGAGCTGTAGTCTGACCGGCTCTGGACCGGAGGAGCGGCGAGAGGTCTACCGCCTCCAGGGACCCCCGAGGTCGTGCGGACGCCGAGGCGCCCCCGCGCCGGCCCCGCGGCGGCTCCCGCCCCGTCCCGCCGCCGACCCCACACTCACCCAGCCTGCCCGCAGGTGCGACTTTTCCGGAGGAGCGTACTGCCGTCGTGTAGGAAGTGACCCGTGATCTCGCCGGCTGGAGCTCTCGACGTACCCGTGGTCCGTCCCGTCTGGGGACGCAAAGCCAGTGCTGCCGGGGGAGGGGGACGTTTTCCGTTAGAGCCGCAGGCCCACCCTGTGCTGCGAGAGGCGGCAGGAGTGGGTCTGGCCATGAGCGCGGGGACCCGCCGCTCCTGCGTGGACCCCCAGACCCCGGACTCGAGTGCCCGCACCTGCCGCGCCAAGGGCTCTCGGCCCGGCCGCACGGCACGCCTAGCCCAGGGCGCCGGAGCCACGGCCAGTGTCCCGAAGGCCCCAGAGGAAGCCTGGAGGGAAGGAGTGGGAGATGGACGTTCTTATTTTCTATGGAAATAGAAAGACACCCAGTGGGGTCAGAGCCTCGGGCAGTGTGTGGACGTTAAGGTCTGATAGGGAGGCAATGATGTGCGGGCGGAGGGGTCCTTAGGTCTGAGAAAGGCTGCCCAGGACCCGGCCACAGGAGCGGCAAGGGGAGGGCAGCTGGGCCCTTGGGCCACCCTCACCACCCCGAGGAGTGTGACCCCCGCCAGCCCACTGGGCAGCGAGGCTCTGAAGCAGGCTGGCTCAGCCGAACAGGAGGAAGGTGGAGGGCACCGTCTCAGAGCTGCCGCGGAGATGTGGCCTGGCTTCTCCAGCAACCCCGCATTCTCAGGGCAGCCAAGTCCTGGGGGCCCCACTCCCTTTCGGGGAGGACCCAGCTGCTCTGTGCCTCAGTTTCCCCACTGATCGGCCGGTGTGTATAGGAGTCGGTGCTGAGCAGAGGCTGGAGGCTGGGGATGGAGAGGCCCCGGGCTGGGAGCCCGCAGGGGCAGAAGCTGAGCCCCGCCGGAGGCCTCCAGAGCTGAGGGAAGCCCACCCAGGAGGCTCTCTTCTCATAAAGAAACAGACAAAACATGGTTTGGAATTCTTTTTAAACTACAGTTACATACAAATGATATCCGGAGAACTCAGACCACAAAAGTGACATGTAAGTCATTTCCAACAGCGGTAAAAACACCTCTCCAACCGCTCTTTAGAAAATGTTTATTGTTTTTGTAAATATCTCACTCTGGGTGAACTGAGGATGTAGTGTTCACAGTGTGTGCGGTTGAGAAAGGGGACAGGGCCGGCTCGGGCGCCCCCAGGCCTCCCCACCTGGGCAGAGGTGGCACCCCCACCAGCTCCAGGTCCGGATGCCAAGGTGGCAGGGGTTCCTGGAGACAGACCACGGTTGTTTCCGCACACCAGTAGCCTCCAGCAACACGCCACAAGGTTTGCAGCAACTCCGTGGGGGCTAGGGTCCCCCAAGGTACCGGGCTGCCCTAAGCTGTAAGGTGGCCATCACAGGCTGGGACATATCGGCAGTCCTCTTGGGCACCCCAGATGCACACCCATGCCCCGGACAGGGAGGGTGGGCCGGCCTGGTCCCTCTCCCACACACACCCTTGGTGCGGGAAGTGTGGGCTGGAAGCCCCGACAGCGTGGTGGAGCCTCCTGCCACACACATCGGGCTGTTTGCCCCAGGACTGCCCAGCCCTGTCTGGCAGCCATGTACTTTCACTGGTGCACAGAAATCTGCCATCTCCCACCCTGCCCACCCCCACACTGCCCAGAAGAGCCAATGGGGCCGTCCTCTACTGACTCACACAAGCCACCCAGACACCTGTGGGCCCGGCAGTTCCTGCCCACACCGTCTCCTGGAAATCCAGGAACTCTCCAGGGGGTGTCAGGCCTGAGAGAGGCCGAGATGCAGGGGCACAGCACAATCTCCTACACACAGGACACCTGGCATGCATCTACCTGCGTGCCGTCCTCTGCACCCACCAGGCAGGGGCATCAGCCGAGGGCGGTGGGACTCACACCCGGGTTGAGGCTGAAGGGGGGGGGCTGTGGTGGGACCTTTGTAGAGGGCAGAGAACCCAACACTGTCCCCTGGTCCCCTCAGTGGCCAGGCCATCAGCTTTGAAGGAGGGGAATCCCCCAGAGCCCCATACCCTGGGCTTGGAGCAGGAAGCCAAACAGGATCCTTACAGTAGCTTGGGGAACCACCCTGGCAGGAAGGAGGAGCCCCCAAGAGAGGCCAGGCGATGGCCGCACTGCCCGTCAAGCCCTGCAGGGCTGGAGCAGCGGGGCTGCTCTGAGGCATGGGGCGGGCCTGGTCAGGGTCAAAAGAAGAGTTCTTTGGTGTTGAAGCTGCAAAAACCCATCGCGGAAGAGCCACGTCTCCTGAGAAAGGGTGGGGGGCGCAAGCTCTCCAGTAGCTCCGGGGGTCCCAAGGTCCTCCAGACAGGGCTCTTTTGCTGAGGCCCCCTTACTGGCACACTCACTGAGGCTGTGAGGACAGCAAATTTAAGGCTGGAAAGGGACCACATCTCTCTAGTGAGAAACCATGCTGCCCAGGCACTGACCTCCCCAGGGGGCCCCAGCGCAGGACCAGCAGCTGGTGCCTGAGCGTGGGGGCAGCTGGCTCACTCCGACCCTTACCCGGCCAGGCTGGGCCACTGCCAGCAGCCCCCAGAGCTTTCCTCACAGCCAGGTCACAGAAAACAGATTCTCTCTCACTAAATGTGCGTAACTTATAGAAGAGCCTATAAAGAGTTTCATTTATTTCCTGGGAAGAGACAGAATTTCACCCTGCATTCCGAAACGCCAGCTGAGCCCAGGCGGCCAAGTCCTGCCTCCCTGGAGCAGCTGGGAGGTGCGCCGAGGATGCTGTGAGACCCCTGATCCTGCCCACTCCCCTGCCGGGGCCCGTCACAGAAGGGGCAGCATCTCCAAGTGTCTCCCAGGGGGCACAGTGGAGGACGAGCAGGCTCTGACCCCCAGGCCAAACCAAAGCTCCCACACTGTCCAATCATAGCCACGCCTTACCCTTGAACAAGACAGAAAGTAGGAAACAAGGGTGCCTTTTTAATTGCAATCAAATATGCTGTCTGAAGCCAGCGCCCTGTGAGCCCGGCCCAGGAGCCGTGTGCGTGCGGCCCAGGGCAGGTGGGGCGCCCTGCCGCGGGACAGGGACCGGCAGGTGTGCTGTGTTCGCCTCGCGGTGTCCCTGGACCAGCTTCGGTGCCCTGGCCGGGGGCAGAGGGCGAGGTGGTGAGCGCGCACACCTTCACACACGCATGCAGACTCCCCCCGTGTTCGCATCTGCTCCTCCTCCTCCTCCGCTGGAACGGTCAGACAGCACTGCGAAGCCGAGGCTGGGCAGGTGTGGGCAGCGCCGCGGGCGCCTACTTCTGGATCTGGAACAGGAAGAGCCGCAGGTTGATGTTCTTGGCGGCCAGCAGCTTGTTGCACTCCACGGAGTCCACGATGGGCAGTGGCACGTAGTCCGTCTCGTTGCTCTCGTTGGTGAAGACGAAGTGGTAGATGACGGGGCTGATCTTCACGTCGTCGTAGGGGCCCTTGAGCAGCAGGAAGGAGCACTCCAGGGGGGCCGTGACCTTGCTCTTGAGCAGCAGCTGGAAGGACAGCGTGCGCTTGCAGGACAGGTTGGGGTTGCGCTCGGAGTCGTTCACGCGCGCCTTCAGGACCCACGTCTGGTTCAGCACCGTGAACCGCGGCGTCTCGTAGTACAGGCGCGTGATGAAGTCGTCCGTGCGGTACGGCCGGAACTGGACCTCTGTGGAGACAGACAGGCCGGGAGGAGCCGGCAGTCAGGCTGGGCCGGGGCAGCGGCGGCGCCTTCCCACCAGCTGAGAACACAGGCTCAGCCGGGGCGGAAGGCAACTTACCGGGCGGACACGGGTGCTCTACTTGTCACAAGGCAAACCAAAGGCAATTAGGGCAAACGGAGGCACACACAAGCTTTGGGGGGAGAACTACAAACAGAAGTGACACGCGTTAGCGGCAGGGAGTCCAGAGGCTGCAAAGTGGGCGGCAGCCCACCCCCTGGCCTCCCCCTCCCCCGGGCCCCCCGCCCGCCCGCCCGCCCGCCCCAGGACCGTGGGTAAGCAGACACACAGACAGGATGCAGTTCTGAGAACAGTGCACTTTATTGGTTCCATACACAGCTGCCAGAAAGTCGGCAGGCAGGCAGCCGGCACACGGCATCCGGCCAGAGTCGAGCGCTGGTGTGCGGCCCGCTGCTGGGCTCTGCTGTCAGTCCTCAGCACGGCCCACGCCCAGGGCTGGCTCGTCCCTCCACGGAGGTGGTCAGTCCTTCCTGCGTGGACGGGCTCCCTGCCCTGTCAGCGCCCAAGTCAGGATGCCTTGGCCGCCCAGGCACAGAGGCCTGGCCCGGACTGTCTGTGCCACGGCGCCCACCAGGGAAACTGAGGCTGTAACTAACCGAGCCCCGGGGCCCTCAGCCTCTCAGGCCTGTGCAGGCTCACGCTAAGCCAGGCCCAGTCCAGGCAGCCTGGCGGGACTGGCTGCCAGCGACAGCCCTCGGCGCTCGGAGGCGGCCCCCGGCGTGGGTCGGGCGGTGGAGGACGGGCGTCTCCCCGAACGGCCTCAGCAGCAGCAGGTGCCTCTGGCTGTTCAGTGTCTAGACCAGGCTCTGGCCCGGCTCCTCCTCCCGGCACGTCCAAAGGCAGTGGCCAGCAGAGCCCACGTGATCCAGTGGGCCTGGATGCAGTCCAGCCTGCCTGTGCCCGGGCGTCCACTCCCGGCTCTGTATTTTGAGCTCGGCACCCTCAGCTCGCTCTGGAGCCCTGGCCCTGAGCATCTTCTCGCTGGCCTCAGGAGGTCTGTGGCCACCGCGGCCTCACACCCACAGGCAGGACCCAACACGCCGACATGTCTTCTCGCCTTTGGCTCTGCAGGGCCGGCCACCGGCTCCTGGGCCCCCCGAGACACACCCACCTGTGGCTCAGACTGACTGTCCTAAGGCTGTACGGCCCCATGCAGTGAGGATGCCACCTGGCTGAGGTGGCAGGGCTGGGCTGGGTGGGGAAGATGGGTGGGAGGGGCCTCTGTGAGAGCCATGCAGGTGCCCCTGAGGTCCTGCCCCAGCCCCTCCCCTGCTCAGCTTCTGGGCCATCTTCTCCCCCAAGCTGTCCCCCCATTCACCAGGAGCTTGTCCAGAGCCCAGCCGCCTGGCACAGCTGTGCCCGGTGCTCAGAGCCCACCGCTCCCCAGGCTCCCAGCTGCCAGCCCCCAGGCTCTGCGGCGGGCTGTGGGCGGTGGGCGCCTCACCTGTGTAGCCGATCTTCTCGAAGCTCAGCAGGCTGAAGATGCTGTTGTAGAGCTGCATCTCCTTACGGTGGCTCTGGTCCATCTCATCCAGGATCTCCATCAGCTCGTTGCCCGTCTTGGTGGGGTGGGCACAGGCGGCCTCGTGCACGGTCAGCTCGTGGAAGGGGCCGTGCCACGGGCAGCCGATTCGCTTGTACTTGCACTGGGTGACCCTGGGGGGCAGGGCACCATGGTCACAGCCTGGACCCCACGCCTCCGCTCAGCCCTGCTGCCTCGCGAGCCACTCCCCGAAGGACACACTCGGCGCGTGCTGCCCCCAGGGAGAGGCCGGAGCGTGTGAGCGGAGGAGGAGCTGTGCGAGCCGTGAGTGCACCAGCCAGCCACACCCACTGCTGTGGGGTCTCTGTCCTGCTCGGAAACAGTGGCTGCTGACCACAGTCCTGGACCCTGTACAGCTTCACCCCAGCAAGGCTCGGGGCTGGACCCAGTGGCCAGGGACAGCAGAGTAGCTGGGGTGCCGAGAGAGACGCTCACCGAGGTCCCAGAGCTCCTGAGCTGGCTATTCTCTCCTGGGCCCAGGGACGCCAAGAATGGCCTTTAAGAGGCCACCACACAGCCAGAGAACCTTGGAGAGCCAGCCAGGGTGATACGCAGACAAGACAGCCACTGTGCGCAGAGGCAAGCCCCCCACCCTCCGTGGGCCCATGTCCAACCTACTACAGGGCCTGGACCCTGAGCAGCTTCACGCTGGCCCAGCCCTGCAAGGTCACCCGAGGGCGGTGCGTACAGAACCTGAGACCCAGGCAACAAGGGCCAGCCAGCGCGTGCTGCACGCTGGGGCCTTGCCTGCACCAGGGGCCTGCAGCCCGGGCGGTTACCTGTCTTGGCATTCCTCCTTCTGGTGCCTCTCCAGCAGGGAGCGGGGAAACTGGCGCAGGCAGAAGCCACACTCAGAGGGCAGCTCGCTCACGGCCTTCTCCACAGCCAGGTTGCGGCAGCAGAGGCTCTTACTGATCTCGCAGCGGCAGTTGGGGCATGTGGCCTGCTCCTCCTTCAGCCGGGCATCTGCTAGTAGGTGGATAAAACAGCCAGCGCACATCAAGTGACCGTTAGTGCACTGCGGAGAAGGAGAGGGAGACGAAGCTCACAGACCTGCGGGACTCGCACACGCGCACGCGCCGCCCGCCGGCCCCAGCCAGGGCCCGGTCGGGCCACCCTCGGGGGCTCGAGCTGCCGGAGGGGCTGCTGTGACCACAGGCGCTGGCGTGCTGGTGCTTTGCGCAGAGGGACACCGCTCAGGAGGGGCAGGCTCTTGCCGGGAGCCCTGCGCGGACACAGCCAGCTGGGCTCCTGTGTGAGCTGCCGGGGCGACTGGCCACAGTGCAGCTGGGGGCCTGGCCCTTCCCCACCCTGGGGGTCAGAGACAGTCCTGAGTGCCCTCAGGCCCCGATTTCAGGACGCCCACAAGACCCTGGATTCTTGGCCACGCACGGCAGCAGCACCAAACCAGCAGCTGCCGAGGGGGCAGTGGATACTGCTCCCTGGCCTTCCGGGGGGCCGCTCACATTGGGGGTCGGCCCCTCCCCTCCACGCCTCCTCGACCAGCACAGGTGAGAAGGCAGCTGTCGCCCACCCAGCGAGGACAGCTACCCTCAGGGCTGGTGCAGGTGGGGAGACCTAGTTGGCCTGGGACAAGGGTCCATGGGCAGCACACACCGAGGGGAGGTGGGAACGGGGCAGGGAGGGGGAGAAGCGGACGCGCTGCTGCCTGGGTCAGGAAGAGCCAGGCCTCCACCCCTTTCTGAGCCTGAGGATCGGAGACCCGGACGCTGCCTGTCACCAGCCGGCCCCTCCTGCTGGGAGTCTCTGCCTGTGGACGGCAGGCCACCAGCTCAGCTCCTGTCCATCGTCTCTCACTGGGCCCACACCAGGGGCTCGGCGTTGGGGGAGGAGAGACCCACGAAGGAGCCAAGAGGTACAAGAGTAAAGACTGGAGCCGAACTCTGGCCCGCAGCTCAGTTGGTTGGAGTGTTGTCCCGATACACCAAGGTTGTGGGTTCAATCCTCAGTCAGGGCACATACAAGAATCAACCAATGAATGCATAAGTGGGTGGAATAACAAATGGGTGTTTTTCTCTCTAAAACCCATTAAACAAACAAAAAAGAAGAGTTGAGCTGAGTGTCCCCTTGGGGCAAACACAGCTCCTCCCAGGCCCGGCTCAGGGGCAGGTGCAGGGGCGGTGGTCGCATGGAGCCCAGCAGGGCCCAGCGAACACGGTGGGCAGCCGCTGGCTGGTGCAGGCGGTGCACCGGCTGCAGCAAACCTCCAGAAAGCCAGTGGCCACAGGATTCCCTTGGGGTCCAGGTCCCTTTTGAGAGTGGGGGCAGCGTGGCAAAGGTTTGCCGGGCCGTCGCCAGGCCTTGCCCACATGCGCGGGGTCCCAAGCAAACATTAGCTGCCGTCCCACTGCTTCAAGGGTCTACGCACCCCGAGCTGAGGAGCGATGAGACCTGTGAGCTAAGGACCAGCACTGGGGGCACCGCGAGTGGGGACGAAGGCCTCCTTTGCAGAATCCACGCCACACACACACGGCAGATTATCTGCACTTGAACCTCGATTCCTAAGGCGGGCCGAACATTAGAACATGCAGGATGACGGGGAGTCGGCCGGGCTCAGGCTGCAGGAGCAGGGTGGAGAGGCAGTCTGTCCTGCCCACCCTCCAGGGGTCAGTGTGACCCAGAGAGGCAGCGAGTGGGGCAATGGGGGGAGGGGAACGTGTGCTGTGGCCGTCCGCTGCCATGGCAGGGCCTGAGCCGGCAGAGCCCGGAGTCCTCGCTGCGCCACGGTGTCCAGAAGAGGACTGCCACGGCCTCCAGAGGCAGGGAGGGCAGCGACACACCACCTGGCCACTTGTTCACGTTAAGAAACTTCAGGCTGAGCCCCATAGCCCCAGGCTCAGAGACACCAGCATGGAGACCCTAGGGCCTGGACCACACCCCTCGGGGCCCGGAACCCCCTGCTGAGCAGTCCGGCAGGGCAGACGGCACAGCGCGGGGCCCACGCCCAGCTTCTCTTCTGTCTCTGGGAGCCCAGTCAGGGCGCGGGACTGAGGAGGAGACTCAGGGCACACGTGGGTGGGTGCAGAACGCACACCCCCACAACGGTCGTCGTGCAGCAGAGCTGGGACAGCCCCCCTCTGCCTGGCCACAGACAGCTCACTGCATCCAGGCTGCACAGGCCAGGGCCTCCGCCTGGGCCAAGGGGGTAAACGGACCGTCTGGACTCACGAGGAGGAGCCCTGACCCTGGGACTTGGGTCTTAAGCAGGTCCTAGAAAATCCCTCCCCTCAACTCCCCTGAACCACGCCCATGGTCAGCAGGCCTTCCGGGCCCTCTTTCAGGCCCGCGGTGCGCGGTGGCCTGAAACGCTGCCCCCGCCCCGCCACACTGCACTCTCCCTCTAGAGGAAGGCTCCGCACGCAGCCCCAGGGGAGCAGCCCCAGCCAAAGGCCCCGAACGGACAAGTGCCACTTGGCCTAGCAGGGCCTCAGGCACCCCACGTGCTCGGCCCAAGGTGTCCACCTCTTCAGTGGAGGTGCCTGGGAGGGGCCGTGCAGCGTGTGAGGCCCACAGCTGTTTCGATGGGAGCCACACCTCGAGCACGGTCCACAGCGCTGAGCCAGCGGCTCCTGCTGCCCCGCCACCCGGACAGCCAGGGCTCAGGTGGGAACCCGTCACTCCCAGAGAGTCGAGCTCTTCGCCGCCAACACAAGTGCTGCCTGGATCACGAGTCAGTCCAAATGACAAACCACCGCAAGCACCCAACCTCCCGTCTAGGCAGAGCCCAAAACCCCTCTCTCTGCCCTGGCTTCGGACGCCTAGGCAGCTGTGCCTCCAAAGCTCCCCTCTGCCACCTCTCTTGCCTCAAAGCACGAGCCGCCTGCAGCCCGAGAGCAGCCCAGGGGCTGAGGAGGACCCCAGGCCGCGGGGCAAGGCGTGCCCACTGAGACCCGCTTGGAACGGCACCTGCAGCCCCAGGTCTGCCGACAGCTGCTGAGGAGGTGTGCCTGGTGCCTGAGGCCTGTGCCATGCCCACCGGCGCCCGGGCAGAGAGGGAGCCAACCCTGCTTCTGGGCCCCACCTTGTGCCAGGACCTGGGCTGAGTTCTGGCAGAGACAGGAGGCCTTAGGGGTGGGAGGTACAGCAGGATGTACCCAACTGTCACACAGCACAGACATGTGCAAGTGCCCTGGCCTCCTGTAGCAGGGAGGGGGCAGTCCCAGCAGGGGGCGCTGCTCAGCAGGGCCCATGAGGATGAGCAGGAGGGGCACCCAGGCAGAAGGGGTGCAGGAGCAACAGGATGGAGGAGCAGGCCCAGGTCTGAGGCCAGGAGTCGGAAGTACGGGGGTCAGAGGGCCAGTTGGGGCCACGTCCCAGAGCCTCCTTTTCCCTGAGGAGGACCCCAGGGAGCTTCTCTGGCTGAGAGCCGGTGAGGAGGGGGGAGCTGTGCGGCCCCTCCCTCCGACGCCACCCCAAGGCTCAGGGCCGCAGCTGCACTCAGCAGGACCAGACGGAGGATGAGCTGGGCCTCATGCGAAGGGCCGGGGGAGACCTGGGAGGGCGGTCAGGGATCAGGCCTCAGCTGCCACGCTCCAGGCACCTCCGAAGCTGTTTGTCCCCGAGCAGGCACTCTTAGGGCAGAGGGTCCCGTGGCTGTGACCACACGGCTGCACCAGAGGGAGTGCTGACTGGAGTTTCAGGCCATCCACCGCCACACGGAGCAGCTCCTGCAGCCCTGCTGCCCCCCACGCCAGGCACCCACCTGCAACTGTGGAAGGTGGCCGCGCACCTTGTCAGGCCAGTCACCAAGGACACGCCTAACACCCACACACCGAGAACATCAAAGCCGGCACCTGCTGTACCTGCTCTGGCCTTGACCTGACCTGACGCAGGCCACAATGAGAGCGCCGAGTGCCTCTCTGCCGTCTGTGGTCTGAGGCCCGAGCAGGTCTCCCAACCCAGGCATGTGGCGTGATGGGTCAGGACAGCCAGCCCTGTGGGGCCGAGGGCTCAGACTCGAGAGCAGGTGGACAACCCCACCCGATCGACCCGTGTCTGCCCAAGGCGAGCTCTGGCCGCCATCGAGGCTTCCCCAGTAAAACAGGGGTGGGTGGGGGCTGACGGCCAGAGTGCAAGCTCTTGAGCGACCAAGCACCCAGCCAGCTCGAGGCTCATAGAGGGTTTTTCTTTATTTTATTTTAATCTTTGTTCAAGTACAGTTTTCTCCTAGGCTCATAGAGTTGTTCCCATGCCCCAGTGCCAGGTGCAGCTCACAGGGACACCGTCTGAGACAGCCCTCAGAGGCACAGCCTGGCTACTGCCCGCCCCGAGCCATGGGTCTGCAGGGGGTCAGGCAAATGTGGCCCAAACTAGTTCACTGCCAATGGCCCATCAACACGGCTCCCCAGAGAAGGCCAGCAGAGGGGAGAGGCTGCGTCCAGACCCACAGATGGTGGCCAGCAATGACTCTGGACCCAGCATTTCAAGGCACCATGTGGAACCCAGATCCTCCCAAGAACAAACCCAGTACTGGTGCTGACCAGGCCCACCTGGACTCCTGCCCTCAATATCCCCATGCAGGCTCACTGTGAGGGTGAGATGGGACTCTACACACAGCAGCAAGCCACCAAGAAGCTTTCCCTTCTTCCCCCACCCCTGTCTCAGGCCCCTCCCACCCCAGCTTCAGCACCAGCCCTGCCCCAAGCCCACACCCCCACAGCAGATCCTCCGGCAGCCACAGCTGAGTTCCAACCAGGACAGGGCTCCCTCCCATCAGCCCCTCTAGAGCCAAGGACTCTCCTACTGATCCCGCATGCTGGGGCTTTCTCCAGGCCTCTTGTGGCGAGAAGAAAACCATCCCAACCAGGCCCAAGCGTCACTGGGAAGCACAGGGCTTGCGTGGGGTCCAGTGCCAGAGCCGGAGCTCAGCGTCTGTGGGCTGCCCTTGCTCTGCGAGCATGTTCTCAGGGAAGCCACGGGCAGAGCCCACTAGGCCTCGGTCAGTGCCGCCCCAGCCCCTTCACTCCGCATCACAGCTGCTCAGCTCCCAGCACCGTGCAGGCCAGTTGGAACCGGCCAGGCTCAGAGGCCTGGCCGCGGCATCTCTGGCCACAGGCAGAGCTGCCCCTCTCTGTGCTGAGTGGCCCAGGAGCCGGCACCCTGGGTCCTGTCGTCCTGCCAGGTCCAGCTCCAACCCACTCACTGGGGAAGAGATGAGGAGACCCCCAAATCCCCCTGGGGCACTCCACCCACTGGCTCGGCTTCCTGGGCTCTCACCCGAGGCCCAAGGAAGTCCTCCCACCTGGGAGGATCCAAAGATCCTGGGCAAGGGAAAAGGGGCTAGACAGAGGACATGTCCTGAGGAGCACCCCCGAGGCTGAGGGGTTGTGAGACGTGCTCCCCCAGTTGGCCCCAGACCAGAAGGCCTGCAGCATTCCCGACCTGCGGCCTCTGGCCAGGAGCTCCCCAAAGGCCAGGAGGCCGGGTGGAGACCTGGACCCACTTGGTCACCAATGCCTTCTCTTCCCATCACTGGCATGCCTCGGTCCTCCCAAGCAACCTCCTAGCACAGCAGAAAGGATCTGGAGATCCAGGTGCCGGGGAAGTGGCAACCCAGATGAGCCCCGCACGGCTTACTACAAAAATGGCCTTCTCGCCCACAGTCTCCAGACGGAGGAGAAGCAGGTGCACAAGGCCCTATCAGCTAAGCCCTACACTTGCAGTGCAAAGAAAAGTGACAAGAAACCTGTTTCATTCCTCAAAGGGACTCAGAGGGGAGGGGTGGAAAGGTGAGGGGGTTGAGGTAGAGAGATAAATGGACACAGAAGGCAGGACCTCGTACACCAACTCTGGGGCCAGGGCGTGGTCCCTGCTGCTCCGTGGTACGTGGTTAAGACCCACCTGGGCCAGTTCTCCTTGAGAACGGCCCTGAACTGCTTAAGGACTCTGACAACAACCACGTGGAAAGTGAGGTGGACAGACCTCCTGGAGTGCCTGGAGTGCCGGTAGCCTAGGAAGCCAGGCCTGGCGTGGGTGAGGCAGGCTGGGCTGGGGAGCCTCCCCTGAGGCACAGCATGTCCACAAGGAGCAGGGGGTCAGACTGGGGTCCCAGACTGTGCGGCTCGATGCAGGTGGTTCAACCCAATCCAGGAATGAGGGGAAGGGAGGAGGAGAGGACGGAAAAGAGGCGATCCCCTCCCTTCTCAGTGTTCTTCCGGAAAGAACAGGGGGCCAAGGGGGTTCTTCCACTCAGGAGGGAGGAGGGACACAGAGAGCCTGAGGACAGGTTTGGTGTGCAGCCGGCGGCAGCCAGAAGAACAGAGGAGCCCTTGAGTGAAGAGGGAGCTCAAGAATGCGGGAAGCAAGCTCTGGAGTGGGGGAGGGGCGTGGGCATCTGTCACCAGCTTTCTCTGGTGTCAGCTTGGGAGGGTGGGCCGGGCAGTGCAGAGGGGGCAAACGGGGAGCTGAAAAGACAAGCACCATCTAGGTAGGAAATAGCAGATTCAGGTCGTGAAATAAGGGGAGTCGGAACAAGTCAGAAAGGGTCTCGGAGCAGGAAACAAAATCCTGAGAGAAGAATGAGCAGCTTCCGAAGAGACGCCGGAGTCCCGACCGCTGGGCCCCGGGGCTCGGGCCTGGCCTCCAAGGAGACGCGGTGCCCGGGGCGCCGGCCGGATCGGGCCGGCGGCCCTACCTGGTACACGGAGGCCTTGGGCAAGTCCAGGCAGACGGTGCAGCACAGAACCGAGTAGAGCCGCTCCTCCAGCTTCCCGCTGCCCGCCGCCGCCGCCTCGGCTGCCTCGGCCGCCCGCAGCCGCTTCTTGGGCGGTGCGTCGGGGTCGCCGGCTGCCTCCTGTAGCTGCCGGGCGCCGGCCAGGCCCGCCTCGTCCGGGAGCCCAGGACCTGCCGCTTCGCCCAGCGCCGCCGCCGCCGCCGGCCCCGCGGCCGCCCCGGGCCCGGCCCCAGCGGGCACGGCGCCGGCAGACCCCGTAGCCGGACCGCCTCCGCCGGCCTCCTCTGCGCCGGACATCGCTGCCGGCCGGCCCGGCGGGCGGGTGCGGGCGCGCTCCCGCGGCTAGAGGTTAGAGGCGCCGCGCGCTGCCGCCGCCCCCTCGCCGCCGCCGCGACCCCGCAACCCCACTCCCTGTGTCGCTGTCTCAGGGAGTCTGGCCCGCGCGCCAACCTGCAGCAGCCGCGGCCACCGACCCCAGGGCGGCCGCCATCTTTGTTTTTGCTGCGCTCTTCCCCACCCCCACCGCCCCCCTGGGTCTCCCCGGTCACGGGACACTCTCGAGCCAATGGGAGGGCTATACGGCGCTGCGGCCAGAACCAATCGACGCGTGAGGGCCTGCCCCTGCAGAAAGTGGGCAGGCAGGAGGCGGAGCCCAGGGCTGCCCGCGGAGGGCACAACTGGGGCGCCGGGAGCTGGTGCTGCGCTTCCGGTGGTCCACAGCGCGGGCCCCGAGGACGCAAAGAGCAACCGTGGGCGCTCACGTCGGGGTGTGCCCGAGTCTTTGTCTCTCCACACTCGAGCTTGAGTGCACAGGGTCCACGGGAGCGAGAAACTCCGTGGCCACCCCTCTCCCTCCTGTGTGGGACCAGCTGTGCTTACACAGTACGCAAGCAGAGGGGCTCCCAGAGGAAGCACTCAGGGCCCCGGACTCTAACTCACTGCTCGGCCCAATCTCGTTTCCTACCCCTGGGGCAGGTGGCTGAAGAGGGGTGCATTGAGGAAAGTGAGCGTCTTAGAAAATCATGACTTGCCTTGCATAGGCTGGAAGGCAGACAGGCAGAGGGCGAGTCAGCCCTGGAAGGGGCCTGTTCGTTTCCGGGAACAGCTGTGATACAAGCCTCCCTTGTCCCCACCCCAGCCAGCAGCCCGTGAAGGTCACTGTCCCAGAGGGCCTCTTGCTAGGCTGTGCAAGTGTGTTCAGAACTCCACCATGTCCCCAAAGAGGAAGCTCCCAGGGTTACGTCTTCTTAGTCCAGGGGCCAGCAGGAGGACAGGCTGGGTGAGGACCCAGACTGCTGCCGGTACATCCCCTTTCTTTGCTCAGGGAATCTACTTGCTGACCTGGGAACCTTAGAAAGCTCACTCCCTCTCAAGAACGGGCAGATCCCATATTCTTGCTTAATCCCTAAGGTTTATTGGAGACCAAGCCTCTATTTGGATCCACAACCATGGCCTGCCCAGTATCAGGTTTCAAAATGTGCCTGAACCCCACCCCCTTCATTCTGGTCTAGGCAGGTCCCCATACTCCACCAGAGGGACAGGGCCCAGACTCTGCCCCTGACCAGTCATCCTGCAGCAAGCCCACTGTGGGAAAAAGGAGATCTATCTCTAGGGAAGGAGGCTCCAGGAGGGGAAGTGGTACCCGGGTCACCTGCCTTGCAGTCTCCAAACATCACTCCCACTGCAGGCGCTGTGTGTGCAAGGCCCGATGGTAGGCCCAGCTCCCTGCAGCCAGGACCCAGCGACAGACGTCCTCCTTCGGCATCAACAGCAGTCTGTCCTGCTCTAGCCGACTCAGGAGGCCTGCAGCACCCAGCATCAAGCCCCCCCACATTCCGTAAGTGTTGGTCGTGAAAACGGCCACAATAAGAATGGTTACTGCCACCACGAGCACCACCGCCTGACCAGCCACAGAACGGCCCTCCGCGCCAAGGTGGTCACCAGCCACTGCCAGCACCATGCCTCCTCCCAAGAGCAGGTTTGCAGAGGAGCGGTCCCCATTCACCCAGTGAAAATCGAAGGCCAGAAGGGGCAGGCCAATGACAGTGGCCACCCAGGCTCCAGTAAGACAGTCTTCATCTGTGCCCTGCCCTGAGGCCAGCATGGTGGCAGCAGCCAACGCCTGGAGCAGGAAACCAGCAGCAGCCCCTCGACTTGCCTGTCAACACAGGGAGGGGAGATGTGGGAAAAAGAGGACAGGACCTTACTCTAAACAGGGAAAAGTTTAGGGGTCTCATGGAAGCCTGACCCCTACACTCACCTCCCACCACCCTCCCTGATCCAAGGCACTGGATAGGCCCTTGGGTTTGGGGAATGGGATCCTCCCCTATCCAGCCCCTGTGTACTCACCTGGGCAGTGCTCAAAGCTGCATGCAGAGACACCACTCCCAGTGCCATGTGGGACAGGGCCATGCTCCACTCAACCCACGGTTTGGGTGCCATGGCACCTAGGACGGTAGTAAGTTTGAGGAGACCGGAAGGGGCTCGTCAACTTTGGAGAGGACGAAGTAACGCAGAAGCCGGGGACCGGGATCGCTAAGGGTGGCTCTCCAGGACTCCCAGTTTCCAGAGCCTCATTTCTGAATGTTGGGATAGGCTCATCAGAAACTTTCTGTAGCTATGAGGTCACTGGACACAACTGTGGGGAAGAAAAACTTATTTGGCCGGGAAAAGAAAAGAGAAGACAGAGGCGGGCCTGTGTTAGGCGGGAGTGAGCCTTGGAATCCAAGTGGGGGCGCCGGGCCTGGGGGACAGCGGCGCGGGACGTGCGCAGGCCCACTCGGCCTGGTCCCCGCGCTCTGGAAGGCGTCGTCTTCAGAACCCAGCCCCGGAGGTGCGACAGCACAGGCCCTCAGGGGCGACCCCAACGCAACGGAAAGCGGGAGGCCGGAATTTGTCCACCGTACCGCCCGCCCGTCCGCTGCTGCCCCGCCTTCCGCGCCCAGCCAGTGGAGACTCGAACCAACGAGAAGAGCGGAGGCTAGAGCGTCGGGGGGGTGGGGCCGGGGCTGAGGAGGGCTGAGCCAACGGGTCGAGGGGAGGGCGGGGCTTGAAGGAGGGCTGTACGAAAATAGGGTGTTATTGCCCAGTGATTTGCAGGGATATGTGGAGGGGGGAGGGGCCTGAAGAGGGGCTGCGGGCGGGGGGCGGGGAAGAGTCTGAGGGCGGGGCAGGGAAGAGAGGGCTGTGGGAGGAGCAGCGCGCGGCAGGGGAGTAGGCCTAAGCCTGGAAATGGTGGGTGGGGCTGTGAGGAGAGGGGCGGGGCGCGGTTGTCCGGGGCAGGTTTCTGGGAGGGGCTGTACGAGGAGGGAAGGGCGGTACGAGGTTGTGATGGGTGTGGCTGAAAGAGAGAGGGGGCGGGGCTGTAAGGGGAGTGGAGACAGGATACCCGTGGGCTGATGGCTCTAGGGGGCGAGAGCAGTGGAAGCTTCCTCGGAGATCTGGCAAGGATTCCGTGAAAAGGAGGTGCGGAGTCGTGGGTGATTTCAGCCTGGGGTCTCCATGAAGTATGGGTAGGGGCGGAGGGCAGGTGTCCTGGTGTGGGCGAGGGGACACCTGTCTCTGCACCTCTTTCCTCCGCCGCGCATCCTCCACCCGCAGGAGCGGGGCCGTGGGGGCGGCCGTCCCGAGCATGCGCACCGGGTCTGCTGCGGGCAGGCGAGCGGGCACGGAGTCCGGGCGCGGGGACGCGGGGCGGCGCGAAGCCGGGCCCTCTGCCGCCCCGCGCTCCCATGTACGCCTTTTACTCGCTGCTCATCTACATTTTCTACAGCCTCTTCCGCAGGGATGGCGGGGCCAAGGCGACCGCCGACCCCAGGGACCCCAGCCAGGTGAGCGGGGGCGGGTTGTGCAGGCCCGCGCAGCGTAAGTCTCCAGGGCTGCTGCTGCGGAGAGGACTGTGCTGAGGATCCCCGTGTCTTCTCTGGTGTTGCCATCAGAGACCTCAGCCCCAGAGGGAGGCTGCGGGCCTCTCCTCAGGCGCTTCCCGTGCTCCCTTCCTAGAGTGCCAGCTGCAAACCCGAGGGTAGCCGCCGCCCTGACCAGCCCCCTGCAGAACTCTGGACCGAGCTGACCGGCCTGGTCGGTAGGTGCTATCGTGCATACGGAGCGCTGCGTCCCCGGGGCCATAAGAGAACCCCACCGTCCGAGAGAGGGGGAGGTGTCGGTGACCTCATTGGGAGCGAGACCCGACAGGTGCCATCTGGCTGCCTACCCTTCACCACGTGACCCAGCACGACTTCCCTTCCCACTGTCTGGCCTCGCAGGACGCTCGGAGTCAGAAGATGGGCCGGGAGGGGGAGCCGAGGGCCGCCCGACCGAGGTCTCCCTGGAGGAGGCTCTCGTGCGCCTTGCTGAGTTCCTCTCAGTCCAGCTGGGGGCGGAAGAGAGCTGTGGCTATCCTCCCGATCTGAGCAAGGTGAGCCGGGCTGTTGGGTGAGTGGGCTGGCGGTCTTTCTCCAGCAACCTGTCCTCTCTCCCCAGGCCTGACCTCCACACCCCGGCCCGCCTCAGTCTCCTGAATTCTGATTCTTCTCTCCTTCACAGCCTGGTGATGTCCCCCCACTGTTGACTGTAACTGGTCAGCTCTTGGCCCTCCTGGCATGGATGCGGAGCCCCAGGGGGAGGCAGGCCCTGCCCCAGGGGACTCAGCCAGCCTCGGGGGTGCAGCCCCCTACTCCAGCTGGTGCGTAAGAAGCAGTGAGTTGAAAAGTGTGTGCATGGAGTGAAGCCTACCAGAACCTGAGTGCCCTGGAGCACAGGGTCCTAAGCCCTGCTCCCAAGGTGCCTCCCCTTCAGGGCAGAAACCCCAGTTAGTCCTAACTGGGTATGCCCCACCCCAGGACCCACACCCCCAGAAGAAAGCCCTTCCTTTTCACTGAGGGGTGAGGCCCAGGGGCAGCAGGCCTCGCAGTTGGAGGAGGATCAGAGGGCTTGGCAGCGGCTGGAACAGCTCATCCTTGGACAGGTGAGGGGCCTAGGAGGTGGTGGGCGCTGGGGAGGCTGGGAGGAGTTTTGCCACTCCAACCCCCTTCCTCCATGCCAGCTGGAGGAGCTGAAGCAACAGCTGGATCTGCAGGATGGGCTGGGCCAACTGCACCTGGGAGTGGTGAGCTGTGGGGCTGTGCACAAGCAGGAGAGGGGAGTGGGGCCAGGGCTTTCCCGTGAGTCCATATGACTTCCTCTCCTCCAGGGGGCGACAGATTCCGAGAAGAGGGTTCAGCATCTAACCCTGGAGAACGAGGCCCTGAAACAGAGTCTGATCCTCACTCAGGACCTTCTGAGGCACTGGGGTCCTGGCCCCCATACCAGGGCCCCCCAGGTATTCTCAGCTGCTGCTGTCCTCTGCAGGCTGGCTTTCCTGCACACCTGGTCTCCCTCAGGACCTGGGGCTCTGGAACAGAGGCAGGGTGTTCTCTGGCTTGCCAGGGCCAGGGCTAGTACTGTGGACAGGCCCAGTGCCATCAAGGAGGCTGATGCCCATGGGGGAACAACCCCCTCACAACCTCCCCACCCCCATGGCTCCCTCAAGTGACTGACCCCAGGGGAGCAAGGGACTTGGGGGAAAGCCCTGCATGGATTCATGACTGGCTCTTTTGACCTGACTTCCCCTCACGTGAAATGGGGCTGTTAGAATGCCCCTCCCAAGTTTCCTCCTGGCTCCACAGTTCACGGGGCTCCCACCCCTCCCGCAGGAGGAGGCAGAGGCCCTGGTAGAGCTCCAGGGCCAGCTCCAGGAGGCCCAAGACGCCACAGAAGCGCTCCGAGTCCAGGTGGGCACTGGGCCCAGGGGCTGGGAAGACTGGGAACACTGGAAAGGGGGAGGGGATGCCTGAGGCAGGGCCTGGTAAGTGCCTATTTCCTCAGTGACGGGGTGGGGCGGGGCAGCTGGGGGTCCAGGAGGTGCAGCTACAGGGCCTTCAGGGGGCCCTCCAGCAGCTCCAGCAGGAGACGGAGCAGAGCTGCAGAAGGGAGCTGCAGCAGGTGCACGGGCAGCTGGCAGGTAAGGCCTGGGGCAGTGGGCTCCTGGGAAGCCCACTGGGCCTAGGCTTCCTCTCACAAGCACCTTCCCTCACCAGGACTTCGGGCACGCATGGCCAGCCTCCGCCAGGGCTGTGGGGACCTCCGAGGCCTGGTCAGCACCTTTACCCAGAGCTGTCAGGGTTCACTGAGCGAGGCCCGGGGCCAGGTCAGGACCAGCTGCTCGCTCTGCAGCGGGTGCTCCCTGGTCAGCCCGGTCACTGTTCTTGCCGTGGGGAGCCCCTTTCTCCCATCCCGCCCCTAGGGAGCTGCCTGCTCTAATGGAGGTTGTAGGCTCTAGACCCAGGACAGCTCCCGTGGCCCAGGGTGTGACCTCACTTCTGGGTCTCATTCTTGTCCTGTGCAAAGGAAGGTGACAGCGAATCCCTGACAGGGTTGTCAAGAAGCCCAGAGGAGACAGATGACGCCCTTGCCCATGGTCCTCCTGATTGTGGGCTCCACCCCAGGCCCACCGAATGATACCCCCGGGAGCCCTAAGCCCCTGAAAGTTGTGGATCACCACAGCTGGTGGCCACACAATGGCTCCATATTGCCCTTAGCACCCCACCCCAGCTACCTGGCTGTCCCCGCTGGCTGGCTTGCTCACATCTTTGTTCCTCCAGGTATCCTGGGCCCTGGGGGCACTGTCAGACAGTGGGGCTGGGACTCAGCTCCCTGAGGAGCAGCTGGGGCCCCCAACTGGATGCCCAGGGCGGCTGCTGGAGCTCAAGGGTATGGCCGCTTGGGGAGCGGAGGAGTGGAGCCGGCGGACCGGAGCAACTGCGGCCTCCCCGTGCCTCAGGGCTTGGGAGGCAGGCCAGTGACCCGATCTCCACCCCAGGAAATATCCGTGTGCTATGTCGGCTGCGGCCAGGGACACCCTCCAGCCTGGTGAGCTCGGAGCCTGGCCCAGGCGGCACGGTCACCACCTGCTATCGCGGGCACCAGCATCGATTCCGCCTGGACTGGGTGTTCCCTCCAGACGCCAGCCAGGAGGAGGTGAAGCTCCACCCTCGCACCTGTGCTGGCTTCCCTCAGAGTCCCCAGGGGCTCTGGTCCCCTTCCCTGCCCTTTCGCCCTCCCAGGAGCAAGACTGGCTAGATTCCAGCAGGGAAGGGGAAGGCAGCGGATGCAGGACTGGCAGCCGAGCTGGGCACCGCGGTTCCTTCCAGGGTCTTCCCTCTGTGTCCACCCCTCCCCCCAAGCTCTGCAGGCCCAGGGGAAACATCTGGTTTAGACAGGAAGGTTAACGTTTTCAAAAATAATTTTTTTACCGGGAAACTAAGGAACATGAACCTGTGTGAGGTGATGGGCACTGTTCACACAGGGCTGGCTGTGGGGCACAGCGTGATGTGCTGGGACCATCCCCCAAGGCGTCGCTGGCCGCGGGGTCCAGAGCCTGGCCACTGTGAGGACAGGCACCTTTCCTTGCCTTGTGACCGAGGGCACGGAGCAGGGCACTGGCGAGCAGGCCAGCCTCAGCCTCAGCCCTCTCCGCTGCCCTGTGCTGGTGCCGCCCTCCTTTCCTGCTGGGCCCAGTGGAAAAATGGAGGCGCAACCCAGCCCACCACCACCTTGCTTCACACACGCCAACTGTTACACACACATTTTGCTGGTAGGGCTTCCACAGCTCAGGAAATGGAGGCAGACCCAGGAGGGGATTAGGCCAGGGGCAGAGCTCAGACCCCTGTTGGCCTCAAAGGGTGGCCAGGTCTCCCTTCCCCCACTTTCTGGGGTCCCACGGCTGTTTCCCACCTGCCTCTCTATCCAACACACTCCCCAGGCTTCAGCCCCACCGTGCAGCCCTGCACGGGCCCCTGGTACTGGACAGGGCCCTCCAGCGTAAGTGACCCAATGAGAGAAGGGAAGGCACCCATCACTGTTCTGCAGGTCTGCAGGGCACCACTGTCGCCCCCAGGGCCCCCTCC